CCTTTCTACCTACCTACCTACTGTTAGTGCCAGTGCGGCAAGTCCCGTGCCCAGTGTCGTGCGAGGGAGTTTTGTTGTAAAATTCTTTCGCGAACCGCCTCTTTAAAACGGCAGTGTCCAGTGAGAGCGACGCGAGTTGTAGTGCGAGCCAGCACGCAAGGCACTAACGACCCTGCCCTCCTACGATGGAAACGCCTGTGCCCGGCGGTGCGACGAGACGGTAGAAAGTCCGCGACCCTCGCCGTCACTCTCTCACTGACCACTCGCTTGGTTTTTTTCGCTCCAGCCCTGGTAGACCGCAGAACTACGAAGCCTTCACACTCCATCACTCCAAGGGGCTGCTCACTGACACACTGTCCGCTCACCCGTCACAGACTGGGGGGGCCGCGCCTCGCGGCAGCCCGCCTCACGGCGAACCGTCTCTCTCTCTCTCTCTCTCTCTCTCTCTCTCTCGACACCCCACGTGATAGACAGAATTGCGTGCATCTGCTCTCTCTCTCTCTCTCTGTGTGTGTGTGTGTGAGAGAGAGAGAGAGAGAGAGAGAGAGAGAGAGAGAGAGAGAGAGAGAGAGAGCAAGAGAGAGAGAGAGAGATTTAGCAATACCAAACAAAGTGTTTGTGTTTTGTGTGTGTGTGTGTGTGTGTACAAATATGGCTATCAATGTGTACAAGGACCGTGCAATGTCCAACTCGAGGCGCGATTCTAGATCTAGTGGTAGCTGGTAGTGCCCGCCCGCCGGGTGGGAGACGTGCTCATCTATGTGTAGCGACGTCGTGCGCGACGCATCACGAGTGTTCGAGTGAGTACATGTACAACTAGCGATCTCCTATATCGCGCACAGCGCCCCCCGCACAGCACGGATTGCGCCGTCGCGCGGAGCGCGCGAGGCAAGGGGCTCGCCCCCCTTGCCCCAGTGGGCTCACCCCCCTCTCTCCGTCAGAGCCCGCGGAGCCCGAGCCGCGCTGCCGCTGCTTTCCACCGGTCACTCTTCCACTCCTGCAGCGCCTAAAGCGGTCTGTGCCGCTACCCTTCCGGTAGGGCACAGGTCACCCTGACGTGCCTACCTTTGGAGTTATTCGGGCCGCACTTGCCCGAGAGGCCGCCGAAGCACTGGAGGGACTTGCAGCCGCTGCCACCGTCGCCCACGCTGTAGACGGCGCCGTCGGGGCAGGTGCAGCTCCCACCCCAGTCGCCGAACGTGTCGCCGTGCTCCACCTTATTGACGGTGCCGGGCGGATAGTGCGGCGGCGAGGGTGGAAGCACCAGTGGTGTCACCACAAGACTGGGCGCGTCGCACCAATCGCTGTCACGGCCCGTGTCCCACTCCCGCCACCGCCCCACGCACGCCTCGGGGCTCGCTGCGCACACGTTCGATGGGCTGTCGATCCACCCATTGTCGTCACAGTCGACGGCGCGTTCACCGCGGCCCACCATCCAGCCAGAGTCATCCGTAGCGGCTGGAAGAGCACGTAGCCGCCAGCACTCGCCTGGTAGACGGGCTTCCCGTTGCAGAGCTTGCCAGCCACCTGAGTGTAGATGCCGTTGAGCTCAGGGTTCCGCTTGGCCGCGCCGCTGATCGAGTACGCCGGCGCGAGCTCAGGGTTCTCGCACCGCGGCCCACTATAGCCGTCGCGGCAGGAGCATTCGCAGGTGACAGCGTTCGCAACGACGGAGCCGTGCGCACCGCAGACGTCGGTACACCGTGCCTCCCGTACTCCGAATCCGTGCGCGTCGCACCACTTCTCGCCCCACGCGCAGCCTTCGTGCAGCTCGCTAGCCACCGCCCCGCGCAGTCGGGCCTCGCATCGCACACGAGGCCCCAGGTGTGGATATGCCCCCATGCCTTACATGATGCAGCGCTTTCGCTGCTGCTCACCCACCATTCCGACGTGCCGCTGGGCTGGAGGAGCAAGTAGTCGCCCATGCTCGATTGGTAGACGGGCTTGCCGTTGCAGAGCTTGCTCTCCATCCGAGTGTAGATCCCGTTGAGCTCTCCCCAGCTCCGCTTCCTTGCGCCCGTGAGCTCAACCGCCCTGGGGATGGGCGTGTAGAAGTTCACCGGTCTGAACGCACGCGCCTGGCGCTCCCACTTCATCGTGAGGTGCTCTCTAAGCGCCTGCCCCTTTGCGGCATCGATCCGCTCCACCACCTCCCAGATGGGGCGCAGGTCTAGCCCCCACGGGTAGAGGTCGTGGCCGTCCGCAGCGAAGCTCGCCGCCCATCGCCGCCGCACCTCCTCGAAGTTAGTTCCACGCCCATCCACTGCGAGCCAAAGCTTGGTGTCCCCGCCCTCGGCGTGGAAGCTTGTCGTCATCAGCGCTCCTTCAACATCCGTGCGCTTCGTATGGCTGTCGGTGAACGATCCCTCGCCTCCGATGAACCAGTTGCCTCGTCCTGCTCTGAGCGCCGCTTCGACACTGACCTGATTGTCGTCTGCTGTCGCCTGCATCGTGTATGTCTTTTGCACTACACCGCCAAGGTTGGCAGATCGCGCGTAGAAGCTGCCGAGTGTCTCTGCGATGTCCTGCACGCTAGAAAGAGGCACACCTTCGATGTAGGCCTTGAGCGATTGGTCGAGTTTCGTGTGCGGCTGCGTGCGGAATGCGCCTGCGGTCATAGCACGTTGCTGGTTGAATCGCACGAGTGAGTCTTGCCGGACGGTTTTGATGGAAGATTCTGCGCTAGAAGACACAGCCATGCTTGCCGCCGCAGAGAATGCGCCATAGTAGCCGGCCACACCCATCTTTGCTGCCATGTGTTCGGCGACGGTCTTTTCAGATGTGGAGTAGACAATCTTGCCGTCGGCGTACATTTCGGGCGCGAGATCCACGTCGTCCGACGAAATGCTGAAGAGCTTTGACGTCTTGCGGATGAAATACGGCACGTCTGGGTCGACGTCAAAGCCGTACGCAAGGACAAGCCATGGCGCTTCCATCTGGCAGTGGGGACCCGAGTAGCCATCGTGGCACCTGCTCGTGGCTGGTGGGCACCCCACACCCAGCCGCTCGCAAGGGTCTTGAAGGTCCGCATCTTGCAGAGCGCTCGGCCAACGAAGCGTTGCGAGCATCCCGACAGCACCCATAGCCAGCACGCATAGTACTAGTAGCGTCACGCGCTTGCGAACCCACGGCTTCGCGGCTGGCGGGGTCTCCATTGATCGAGCTGCGGCCTTGACAGCGGCGCTCGGCAAACAGCGTCGCAACAGCGTCGCCCTTGTGGAACCTGGCGGGGGCTAACTTCAGCTGTCCCATCGAGGTCTCGAGGGTCCTCGTTGGTGCTTTTTATTGAGCTATAGCCCTCAATAAGAAATGTTTTTTTGGTATCACACAATCGCCGCGCCGAGGAGAGGACGATAGTTGTAGTTCGAGCCAGCACGCAAGGCACTAACCCCTCCCTCCTACGAAACGCCTGTGCCCGGTGGTGCGACGAGACGGTAGAAACGCGCCACCCCCACCCGCGCGCTCTCCTCGGGCGTGGGCCCCTGCAGCGGTGGCGCGGCGACGCGCCACCCGTCGGCCTCGCACAGCCGCCTATAGGGTATAGAGGACTCGACCAGCGAGAGCCACAGACTCGCTCGCCGGCGCATGGAGCGACGCCTGTTGACGATGCCGACGACGCAGCCGCGCCCGCCGTCCGGACAGGCGCGCAGCGCTGCGGCGAATCGCCCTGCACGCGGGGGCGCGTGTGTGTGCCGGGTGTGCGTTCGCCACAGAATCGCGGCTCCGTGTAATCTGTAAATCTCACCAACATTGAGGCATGAACATAATGATACACGCAACGAATTGCAACTCGATGTCGAGATCATACAGGTGGAACAGGCGTGAGACACAAGATCAAGTGACGGTGAGCGAAGTTTGCCTAACACAAGGCCCGTTAGCGCTGGCCGCTGCGCGACCACGGCGCTGCTGCTGCCTCGCAGCTGCACCGCTGGGAGCGGGAGGGAGAGCCTGCAGCCTGTTGACGCTGGCCGCGCCACGGGGCCCTGGTCGGGAAGCGCCGAGCCAAGCCCCCCCCCCCCCCCCCCCCCGCCCCACCACTTCGTGTTGGGGAAGTTCCTTACCTCACCTTACTCGAGCAGCATGTATGTATGTAGAAAGATGAACAACAGTCAGGCTCGGACTGGACACCAACGCGGTATGGGTGGACGCGGGACAGATGATGACGACACGCACGAGCAGCAGCATTGATTGATTGATGGGAAGGCGAAACAGAAAGAAAGAAAGAAAGAAAACAGACACGCCAAACGAGGGATGGGACGAGGACAAGGTCCCCACCTGCACGAGCAGGATTTTGGAAGGACGATCAGGGGGACAGGTGGGGCTCTCCTGCTCCTGACAAGGGACACGACAGGCTCGCAGCGCGGTGCGCGGTGGACTCCCACATCCACTGGCGGTCTCATCTCAGTCTAGCGACCTGCCTCCAGCTTGTCGCTGGCAGTCTCTCGCACATGCACACTGACACAGGGGTGGCAGGGGCGGCGGCACGAGTCTCCCACATACTATGCGGGCCTCACTAGAGGTGCGGCCTGTGCGTGTCCTCGCCCTTGAGGGGGGAGGGGAAGGGGCTGTGTGTCTGTGCATGTGTGTGTGTGTGTGTGTGTGTGTGTGTGTGTGTGTGTGTGTGTGTGTGTGTGTGTGTGTGTGTGTGTGTGTGTGTGTGTGTGTGTGCGTGTGGAGCCGCCCTGAACGCCACGAGCGCCGTCGGCAGCGCGCGACCGCCACCCAAAAGTGGAGGTACATTAGGAGCCGCAGCCGGCCTGCTCTATCAGCCCCGCAGCCGCGGTGGCGCGACCGGACCGCGGTCGCTCCAGGCGCCTTTTGGCCCCGGTTCGAATCGCGGTTGGCGCGCGCCCTCGCGGAGCGACGCGTGGCGCGCGACGCGCGCGCGTGCGCGTGCGCGCCCAGCCGAGCCCTAGGCCGTATGCCGTCTGCCGAAACAGCAGCACCCTAACGCGCTAGTTTACTTTTCTTCGCTCTGTTTCGCGGCCGTGCTGTCACACATGGCGCGCCCGCTCCTCACGCACAACCTCGTGGCTCTCCTCGTCGGCATCGCGACGGCCGCGCTCCTACTGGGCCTCGCGCTCGTTCAGCAGCAGCCCGTCGAGACTCGCCAGGCGGCCGCGCCGCAGGCGCTGGCGGCGTCGCCCGCCGCGGTGAGAGCTCTCTCCTCGGAGGTCAGGGCACTCTCGCGTGCCCTCCAGCAGCAGCACGACGAGGCGGCGGCGCAGCTCGAGCAGCTCCGTCGGCTCGCGCCGGCGGCGAACCGAAGCAGCGCCGGCTCCTCCGCCGCCGCCACCGCCTCCTCTGCCGCCATCGGCTCAGCCGCAGCGTCCGCAGCGGCGTCCGCAGCTCGCGAAGCGGCGGAGGCGGCGGCCCTGGCCACGTGCACCGAGGCGGACGTGCCGATCCTCAGGCTGTGGCGTCGCCCCTGCCCTGGCGGCCGCGCCGGCTTCGCATGCGACGTGCAGTGGGACCTGCAGGACCGCTTCCTGCCCGAGGGGAGCAGGTGGCTGTTTGAGTGGAGGGGCGCGCGGAGACGAAGTATGAAGGAACGATTGATGCATTGACAGGTGGCTGCATACGAGTGGAGGACCGAGGCGGAGCAGGGTCAGCTCCTCCATCAGTTGAGCTGCTTCATTCATTTGGCAGGTGGCTGTCGGAGTGGAGGTCTGTCCGTGGCGCGGCGACGCAGTGCCAGCGAGGCTTCTTCACGGCCCTCGCGGCGCGCATGACGGCGGAGCGCGGGCTGGTGGCGGAGGACGCGTCTCTTCACACCTCCTGCTGTGAACAGGCCCGCATGACGGCGGAGCATTGGTTGGCCGAGTGGGACGAGCAGCCGTTCCGCATCGCCGCCACACCGCCACGCACGATCGGAAAGATGGCGCACACGCTCGCGTCGACCAGGTACTGCTGTTGATGGGTGGTGCCCGATGGTCAGTCATGAAGAGCTGGTAGGTGCACCAGCTCGCGATGGTCAACTACTTCCACCTCACCCTCCCCCCGCGCGCAAAGCCGCGTCTCAGGCAGCCGAGGGTGCCACTCTCGCGCATGCTCGGGCAGCCTCGAGCCATCTCGGGAAAGCTCGGGCACTCTCGCTCCTCAGGCAGCCGATGGTGCCGGGGGAGAGGTATGTCCCTCTGCCGCAGCCCGGCTTCCGCTGGAACGTCCTCGACTACGGCGGCCCCAACACCATCTCCTCTCCGCTGCGCAACAGCCGCCGCTGCGGCGATCTGGGCGTCGCGCTGGCAATGCCTGTGGCAGCGCCGTGAACGGCGTCTCCCACACCTCTGCCTGTGAACAGGCACGGGCTGGCACTGCCTGTGGCAGCGCTTCCCGCACCAGCGGAGGCGGGGCGGCGGGGTGGCGCCGCCGGCAGAGTCGCCGCTCGCGGCGGCAGCGGCGGAGCTGTACAATTCCTCGCGGAATGGAAGTGCCGACGCGGCGTCGATGGTGCAATATCTGGTCGCGTCTGCCGTCTCGGAGGTCTTCATGACGCCCTCCGAGCCGCTGGTGGCGTACATGGACCAGCACCTCAAGGTGGTGTGCCACGTGCCGGGGCCGTACTGTGGCGGCACCGCGCTGGAGGCTGCGACGCCGCTCGCCGCGGCGCGCGAGCGACACGGCGATTCGAGGGTGTGAAGAGCGCCTGTTCACACCTCTGGGGGTGTGAGCAGGCGCACGTGCGACACGGCGACTCGTGCGACCGGCGGCGGGACGAGCCCGGGCCGTGGTACGCCATCCTAGAAGCGCAAGCCAGATCGGTGCCCACGTCCAGCTCGAGAGGGTACACTCTTGATGACGGGGGCGAGGTCAAGCTCTGTCCAAGGTCAAGCTCGCCGCACTGTGCGCCACACTGCGCGTACGCGACGAGGCCGTCCGTGCGGCAGGAACGCGATGTTTGCGCTCGACGAGAAGAAGGGGAAGCTCGAACGAGTCAACTACCGGTGGTGCTACTCGTGGAAGGTGAGACCAAACCGACCTCGGGCGGGGGCACGCGCCGCGCAGCACACTCGGTCGGGCCAGGGACGTGAGCAGACTCCACTCGCCGAAGACTTCGACCGACGCCCGCCCGAAAGGTGTACCGCGCGGCGCTGGGCGAGATGCAGCGGCGTTACGGCGCGCGCACCGCCGTGAGCCCGCGTCGCCTCTTCACGGTAGCGCGCTGTGAAGAGACGCCGTTCACAGCAGGCGTGCGCACCGTGCTGCTCGCGACGGACGACCACGACGGCACAGTTATGAGGGAGGTGGAGGCGGAGAAGGAGCGCCGACCCTCCCTCCCTCCCTCCCTCCCTCCTGCCCGCCACCTCCCTCCCTCCCTCCCCGCCGCCTCTGCCGACGGGTGGCGAGGGTGGAGGCGGGCGGCCTCTGTTCACACGTCCGCGCCGCGGGCAGGAGCTCAACTTTGTCTTGCTCGACTTCCCTCGCGGCCAGTTCCAGAAGCGCGGGTGGATGGAGTTCCGCCAGGACGTGGACGAGCACGTCCCCTTCTCCATCCCGAGATTACCCGAGATTACCCGAGATTACCCGAGATCAGGACGTGGACGAGCACGTCCCCTTCTCCATCGCCGCCGCCATCGAGCTGCTCTCGCGCGCCGACATGCTCGTCGGCAACAACACCCCTCGCACGTGTCCCGCCCGCTGCGGACGGCGTCTCTTCACACCGCGCTGCTGCGGGCAGGCAACATGGGCTCGCACGTGTCCCGCATCGTCTACGACAAGATGGTCGGCGCGAGCTCGACCTCGCAGCTGCCGCCCTTCATCTCGGTCGACGGGTGCGCCACGCCTCCCTCGCCACCTCCCCCGTCGCCACCTCCCTCGCCACCTCCCCCGTCGCCACCTCCCTCGCCACCGCCACCCTCGCCACCTCCCCCGTCGCCACCTCCCCCGTCGCCACCTCCCTCGCCACCTCCCCCGTCGCCACCTCCCTCGCCACCTCCCCCGTCGCCACCTCCCCCGTCGCCACCTCCCTCGCCACCTCCCCCGTCGCCACCTCCCTCGCCACCGCCACCCTCGCCACCTCCCCCGTCGCCACCTCCCCCGTCGCCACCTCCCTCGCCACCGCCACCCTCGCCACCTCCCCCGTCGCCACCTCCCCCGTCGCCACCTCCCCCGTCGCCACCTCCCTCGCCACCACCTCCCTCGCCACCGCCCTCGCCACCTCCCCCGTCGCCCCCGCCCCCGTCGCCCCCATCCCCGTCACCCTCCCCGGCGCAGCGAACTGCGGACAGTGGCGCACTGCCGCTCCGCCGCGAACGCCGCCCCTCTCACAGCGGCCCGGCGGCGGCTGTGAACAGGTACGGCCTCTGCTGCGACTTCACCGAGGAGTGCACCAAGGAGGCCATCACGCAGCGCCGCCGCGACGCGCGAGAGTGCATCTACTCGTACGCGCGCTGCACCGGCGGAGACCAGTGGTTCTACAGCCGGAGTTGAGATGAGTCGGTGGCCCGCATGCAGCTCTTTGCGACAGAAGCCTGGAGAGCAGCTCCTCTGCTGCTCACACACTCTGCACAGTTGGCACAGCCTACTGTGCGGCTGCCACAGCCGTGACAGCGATGGGCTCGCCCTCACTGGCCCTCAGTCACTTGTGCTGCGGCTTGTGTGAGCGACACTGCTCGGCGACTGCCGGCACACTGTGAGACCATGGGTGTGAGGTAAAACCACGCTACCAGCGCTTGGTCACATCGGCCCCGAGGTCAATTCTTCTACTCTGTTGATGACAACACTTGTCTACTCGCTGGAGCCGAGCAGGAGGGCCCAGCGCACAACCCCTGGTCAACAAGACAGCTTAAGTGTAACCGCCGATCCATGGCGCGCGTAGCTATGACAGGGACCGCGGCCGCGGACCCGGTGGCGGACGGGGCTGGCGCGCAAGCGCCGGCCACCGTCGTACTGCCGGGGATGCGCAGCGGACCCTGGAATCGCTCCGATCGCGCGCAACTGGAGGACGCGGTGGGTGTCGCACGGTTGTTCGGTGCGTCGTGTGTCAGGCTGATAAGGCCTGGCTACGAGACCATCGAGGTCGACCTGAAGCACGAGAAGGCCGCGGGCGACCGCGAGTCGGTGAAGGTGGCGGAGCGCTCGTACATCGAGCGCACCGCGCCGAAGAAGAAGGAGCTCACTGATGAGCAGCTTGCGGCTCGAACCGCGTCACGCAAGGCCAAGAAGATCCGGCAGAAGGAGCGCCGGGCGAAGGAGGCTGGCGAGCGCGCCGCGAACGAGGCCGAGAACGCGGAGCGCCCGCGCGCGCAGCTGCGCGAGAACATCGAGTACGTGATGGCCGGGCTGCGGTCTGCAGCTGCGCAGGCGCGCAGCCAGGCCGGGTCCAATATAGGAGTCGAATACTCGCTGCCCCCGGAGAGGGACGACGGGTATCGACGCGGCCCCAGCAAGGTGTACGCCACAGTTCCCCAGGGGACCGTGGCGACGACGGTCGCCCCGGACTGGCTCGCGAACGAGCTGGCCGGGCGCGGCAAGATTGATGCGGCATGCCGCGACCGCATGGTCATGCACCTGATGACGGCCGCCGGCGCCTCGGCGCCGGCCGACGCCGTGTTCAGGTTCACGGCTGGCGAGGCAATGCAGACCGAGGACGACGACGAGGACGCCGACCGCTCCGAGGAGTATTCCGACGACGACGGGAGGGCGTCCGACTTGTAGCTGGCCTCACCCATATCTTACCCTCTGCCCCCCCCCTCCTGCTACCCCCCAGGCTAGATGGAGTAGTCACAGATAGCCCCACACAGCCCCTTACCCCGGGTACTACCCCTTCACCCTCGCCTCGCTGTGTTTCTGAACACGTAGACGACCACGCTGTGGGGGTTGTGTTATAGGAGTAGGAGTGGGGTGCAGGTTGCTCACCCACGGCACCGGGCCGGTGCTTGCACTTTGAATGCCGTGGGGCTCCTGCCCGTGTCCGGGCGTGGAGATGCGAGGGTCGCCCCCCCTTGCCCCACCACTTTGTGTGTGTGGAGACGTTTACCTTACCTTACCTTACCTCAACTCACCCTCCACACCCCGTACGACTATAGCACGCACACAACGGCGACTACATAAAGACAGCGAAAGCCTTAATCCGCACCGCCGCCATCGGAGCCACCGCCTCCCACGCGCCCACTGCCGGGTCGTACCGCTCGACCGAGCTGAGCGGTTCCTCTCGCCGATCGTCACCGTTGTACCCGCCCACCGCATGCAGCTTGCCGTCGAGCACCGCCATGGCAAAATTACACCGAGCCGTCACGATCGGCGCCACCGCCTCCCACGCGTTCGTCGCCGGGTCGTACCGCTCGACTGAGCTGAGGAAGCCGTCGTCGTCGTTGCAGCCTCCCACCGCGTACAGCTTGCCGTCGACCACAACCGTGGCGTGAGAGTCCCGTGCCGTCGCCATCGGCGCCACCGCCTCCCACGCATCCGTCCACGGGTCGTACCGCTCCACCGAGCTGAGGGAGCCGTCGTCGTGGTTGTGGCCTCCCACAGCGTACAGCTTGCCGTCGAGCGCCGCCACGGCGTGAGACTCCCGCGCTGTCGTCATCGGCGCCACCTCCTCCCACGCGCCCACCGCAGGGTCGTACCGCTCGACTGAATTGAGGGCGTGGTAATTGGTATCCTGTCCGCCCACCGAATACAGCTTGCCGTCGAGCACCGCCATGCCGTGAGCATACCGCGCATCTGCCAGCGGCGTCACCGCTTCCCACGCGTTCGTCGCCGGATCGTACCGCTCCACCAGGTTGGAAGTTGCGCCGTCAGCCACGTCATCGCCGCCCGCCGCGTAGAGCTTGCCATCGAGCACCGCCATGCCGACATACCTTCGTGCCGTCGGCATCGGCGCCACAGCCTCTCCCTCCCACTCATTCGTTGACGGGTCGTACCGCTCCAGCGAGTTGACAAACTCGTAGTCGCTGCCTTGGCCGCCGATCACGAGCATGCGCGGCCTCTCGCGCTTCTTCAGCGTCTCCTTCCAGCCGCGGCGCCACGCGCGGCACGTCCCCTTGACGGCGTGCTCCTTGGCCGGCAGCTGGGCGAGGATGTGCGGGGCGAGGTCCGGCGAGAGAAGCACCTCGGAGAGGACCCACTCGGGCTGCTCCACGAGCCGTGCGGCGTGCTCCTCCGCCACGCGCAGCGCGGCGGCGCTCGCGCCCGCCTGCGCCTCGATGATGGCGCACAGCTGCGCTGGGGAGAGGCCCGCGACGCGCGCGCCGATGCGGTGGGAGGCCATGAAATGGGGGCGAGAGTGAGAAAAAAACTTCGAAAAATGCCTTTTTCGTAAAATTCTTTTTCTGCGACTTGGGGGATTCCGCACCCGGTCCTCGCTGACGCCGAGGCTCCTCATGAGCTTCCCGCGCAGCCCGTCGGACAGCGAGGTCGAGGCCCTCGACGACGCAACCTCTCAGAGCCTCCGCCACCGCCTCTCCCAGCACTGGCGCACCTTCCGCTCGCTCGGCCAGCTCCCGCTCGTGATGCTCATCTACTTCCCTCGCGCCGCGCTCTCCTTCTTCACGGCGCGCACCGCACCGCCGCCGGCGTCTATCTTCACAGCCGCAGCCCCGCACATATCAGCGCTGACCGGTCAAAGCAGCCGCCGCCGCCGCCGCCGCCGCCGCCCGCCGCCGCCGCTGTCCGGCATGCCTCTCGCCCTCTCGCTCCATCGCACCTGCGCGCCTGCGCCGCCCTCCCTCCCTCCCCGCCACAACCGCGGTCCATCGGCGGCGCGCGCCTCCTCCCTCGCCTGCGCCGGCGCCGCCTCACTCTTTCTCACCGCCACCCACCCGGCCTCGGCTGCAGATTGTGGTCGCCCAGTTTCTGCGCAACTGCGCGCGGATGCTCAACACGACGTCGTCGTACGAGAAGAAGACGAACCTGCGCATCCTCATCATCACCGACTACACCCCGCCGCAGACGCACGGCATCGCCATCCGCTTCTCGCACTACATCACGCACATGCGCCAGGCGCGCACTGCAGTAGCAACGACAGCCACACACCGGAGTCGGCCGCACACGCGTTCCGCGCGTGGCGCCAGGCGGGGCACGAGGTGCAGGTCTACTCGACCAACCTGCACCGGCAGCGGCTCACCTCCTTCGACCACCCCAACATGCCCGCCATCATCAACCCGTTCAACACGTCCAACTGCATGGCGTACAATCCCGGCCTCCGCCTCGCGTGGGCTTGCGAGGCGGGGTTTCTTTTTTCCTACGCGGGATTTTCTTTTTTCTGGTAGGCCTTCGCCTCGCGTGGGCTTGCGAAGAGTAGAAGCGGAAGACGCAGCCTGCATGGTCGTTGAACCCCTCAGCCATATCGCCCCACATCTCCCCACATCTCCCCACATCTCCCCACATCTCCCCGGCCTTCGCCTCGCGTGGGCTTGCGCAGCGTAGAAGCGGAAGACGCACTCTTGTCTCCCAAGCGGCGCTCGAGAGGGCACGGGTGCGCCGTCTTCACAGCTCATTCGCAGCTCCTCGTACTCAACCATCGCTCGGAGTACACCGCACACTCTCCCGTCCCCCCGCCCTGAGGTTGGCGTACTCACACCGCAGGCTCTCGGCGCTAAGCAGTGGGACATCGTCCACCTGGTCTACCCCTCCATCATCGGCCCCGCCATCGTGCCGGTCTGCAACTGGCGGCGCATCCCCGTCTACTGCTCCCACCACGTCGACATGGAGTACTACATCGAGCAGTACGCCGCCTCCATCTCGTGGCTCGGCAACCTGTCGTACTGGCTCTTTTGCAAGCTGCCCGCCGCCCGCCACGCCTCCGTCAACGCAGCGCCCACCCTGTGCTTCCTCGACTCGCACGTGCCGCACAAGGCGCCGGGCTGCATGCGGATGCGCATCCCGTCCGGCGTCGCCGACGCGCGCTTCAAGGTGCGTCAAGATGCATGAAGAGCACTCGCCGTCTGCGCTGGCCACCGCAGCACATCAGCATGCTGTGACGAGATGTGGGGAGATCTGGGGAGATGTGGGGAGATCTGGGGAGACAGTCTAGCACTTGCCGTGACGAGACACGCTGGAGAGATGGGGAGAGAGGGGCAGAGGTGGGGAGAGATGGGGAGAGGTGGGCAGAGGTGGGGGCATAGGTGGGGAGAGGTGGGGAGGTGGGGAGAGATGGGGAGAGGTGTTTAGAGGTGGGGAGAGATGGGGAGAGATGGGGAGAGGTGGGGAGAGGTGGGGAGAGGTGGGGAGATCGACTAGCCGTGCGGCGCAGGTGGACTCTGCGGAGCAGCTGGTGGCGGAGAGGCGCGACTTGGAGCGGCTGTGCGGCGCGGCGGCGGGCGACGCGATCTGCCTGATGGTGCAGCGCCTCGCGCCGGAGAAGGACGCCCACCACCTGCTCGAGGCGCTGCTGCAGCAGAGGGACGGCGCCGCCGCCCTCGCCGCCGCCAAGGAGGCGGGCTGCAAGGGCGGCCGGTGCGGGGCGGGAGGCGGCGGGGCGGGGCGCGCGTCGCCGGTGCTCCTCGCGAGCGGGCGAAGGCTGCACGTGGTGATCGCGGGCGACGGCCCGGCGAGGAGAGAGCTCAAAAAAAGAAATCGGCGGCCCCACGCGTAATTCTTTTTTGTAGGCGACGGCCCGGCGAGGAGAGAGCTCAAAAAAGAAATCGGGGGCCCCACGCGTAATTCTTTTTTGTAGGCGACGGCCCGGCGAGGAGAGAGCTCAAAAAAAGAAATCGGGGGCCCCACGCGTAATTCTTTTTTGTAGGCGACGGCCCGGCGAGGAGAGAGCTCGCGGCGTTCGCCGAGCGGCACGCGCTGCCCGTCACCTTTACCGGCAACGTGAAGAATGACCGGCTGCCGCCGCTGTACCGCGCGGCGGACGCGTTCGTCACGTGCAGCACGTCGGAGACGTACGGCCTCACCGTGCTGGAGGCGCTCGCGTGCGGCACCCCGGCCGTGCTGCCGCACTGCTCCGTTTTCGACGAGTTGTGGGAGGCGAGGCTGCCCGCCGAGTGGATGTACAACCACGGCGAGGCGGCGGGGCTGCTCTCGTCGCTGGCGGCCGCGGTCACGCCCGGCTCGAAGCAGCGGCTGCGCGAGGAGCCTGTCAAGGCGAATCTCGGCGGATCTCGGCGGATCTCGGCGGATCTCGGGGGATTTGGGGGAATCTTGGGGAATCTTGGGGAATCTATGGTAACCCAGGCGAGCTGGCGGGACGCGACGACGGAGCTGATCGCCCAGTACGAGAAGGCGATCGAGGCCAACTTGCCGCACCGCATGGAGCTCGCAACTATCGGCGCCGTCGTCACGAATCTGATGCGTGTCGCGCTGGTCGGGCTGCTGATCTGGTGGGCGTTGCGCATCGAGGGGCGGGTCGCCATGGCCACGGCGATCGCGCTGCTCCGCCAGTTCTCGGAGGACCCGACCTCGATCTCGCGCTGATCTCGCGCCGATCTCGCGCCGATCTCGCGCCCGCAGCTCGCGTCTGGATCGCGCAGCAGCGCGCTCCCTTCTCCCCGCAACTCGCCGGGGCTAGTGGCCGCGTGGCGGTGGCTGCGCCGGCGGTAGCTGCGCCGTGCCTGGGCTTCTTTGGCTGCAGCGGCGCAGCTGCATCGTTTCGTGAGCTATGCGAAGGGCGCCTACGTCGCTTCCGGGCTCCTACTGTCGCCGGACCGCTGCTGTGCGCTATCGTTGCTGCACTGTGCTGGGGAGTGGCCCCGGCAATCGGACATGGACAGGTACCTTAAGGTAAGGCCGGGCCGAGTCGAGTAAGAGGGGAAGGAGGGTGGTTCGAGCGTTGACTGCACATGCTTTTGAGTACAGGACACAACGTAATATATTGAAGAAAAAATGTTCCTGTTACGAAAAAGGGAGGCAAGGGCCCTGGATGTGCGGTTGCTGACTGCACTCCAAGTGCTCCAAGGGATCCGACAAGGGGTAGCGGGTATAGGGCCCCTCGAGATTGCGCGAGATTACACTCAGGCGCGTATCTCGTGATCCTGAGGGACTAACCGTCCCAATAGGCGCGCGTATATCATTCTGGAGATACACATAACATCCGGGCTCTGGGTGTAATAAGGCGGTCAAAAACGGTGCCGCGCCGCGCGCAAGGTTGCACCGCAGAAAAATGCTGTCGATTTTCCACACGTTTTTCGGAGTTAAAGTGGGTATAACGAGCGCCTCACTACTCGAGACCGGTCGATTTGAAGTGCCAAACATGACTACTGATCGGACCGAGCCGCTGGTTGCACCCGAGGACCTAATATTTACCGCAGTAGGCTTTTTACATTGCGCCGCTGACCCATGACAACTCGGACCTCGTGTCTTTATGGGCGGCATCGTGGCTTTGTTGGCCGGGTGCGTGGCGGTGCACGCGTGCGTCCCGCCTAAGCGAGGCACGCGCGCATGGGGGAGGCGGCGGCGAGCCAGTGGATGTCCGGGGGTGCGCAAAGCCTCGGATCATTTCCGCGAGATGATATCAATTCATTTCAAGCTTGTGCGACTCGTCGCGTGTCCGCTCGCAAGCAGCGGCCAGCGTGCCTCCGCGCCGGTCAGCATCAGGCGTGCCACCTCCTCATTGCCATCTCCGGGATGCCACTTTGGGCGGGCACAAGGCCGAGTGACGGCGACCATCGACGCCTGCAGCAGCGACGCTCCCACCGAGAGGAAGCTTGCGATGCGGTGCGAGACGTTGGAGCGGTTCGCACCGCAAAGGGACTCGAAGCTAACGACGCAGAATTTGACGTGCAACGCCGCCATGCTCGCGAGCTCACTTTGCATGTAGGAGTTCGATGCGAGCACGAGCTTTGCCCTCCACACACCCAGCATCGCATCTGTATGTCTGCTGGGACGGGCAAGATATGCGCTGAGCGGGTTGCGGTACGAGGCAAGCACCTTGAGTTCCACGCCTGCCGCAGCGGTCATGTTCCAGAGGACAGCGAGGTCCGGGCGTGCCAGTGCGTCCTTGCCTATCACCGAGTCATTTGACGTTTTCCATCCTCCGCCAAAGGGGTACGATAGGCAGCTGTGTACGCAATCAGGCACCACAAACGTATGGCACAGCCCTTTCATCTGCGCGAGCTGATTCACGTACACTTGCGCCTTCATCTTTGCCTCCCGCCACGAGAAAGCCTCTCGAGTAGACCAGAGAATTGATAGTTGATCGGAGAGGGAACCAGTCTCGTTGAGGTGGCACAGCCCGCTGCTCGGGCTGTTGCGTGCGCTGTGGTCGAGGACGGCGGTCAGCAGGTGGTGGCCGGTGCTCTCGCCGCCCAGGAGGAACAAGAGTGTGGGCGCGGGGTTCGCAGCCACCGCGCCGCTCAGGCCGGCGAGCGTCTCGACAACAACCAGCGCTGCGCGAGCGACGCGAGAGCCGCTCCTACACAGGCGTGTACGGTGAACCACCGACGAATAGAGCACAGGTTTTTGGCCACGAGATCCGCCTTCGAGGTCGAGCCGAGGCTGCCGGCGTCGTCTCTGCTGCTCTGGGCATCACCTGCACAAGCCAAGCAGACTTTGTTGCAAAAGCGGAGGCGGGTCGACGCGCCGTGTGTTGGGTTCCCATCTCGGCGCGCGCGAGTCCAGGCCGAACCGACTAGCTGCCGCCGCAGCGAGTGCGGCTGGGCTGCAGGCAAACCTGTAGCAGGCGCTCGGCACGCTGTCCGGAGGCGCTGTGGCTCACAGCGAGCGCCTGCAGCTGGAGCGCCTGTGGCTCGCGAAAAAAGTCGAGAAGAGGCTTCACAAATAGGAATTTTTAAAGGCCAAGGTAGGCCGCCTATTGAAATCGAACAGAGCGCTAGCGCTCTCTTCGCGCAAGCTCGCACGGCCTCTCCCGCTCCGCTGCTGCCCTCTTGGCGGCTCTCCGCCCGCCAGCTCGACCAACTCGACCGCGGAGAGGCTGGGCTTGGCCGGCGGCGCGACGCGTGGCCTCTGCTGCGGCCATCTCGGACGCTCAAGCGGCGCCAGCCAGCGGCTCGGCCGCGCATCCTTCACACACGCCGCCACGACCAAGCTGAGCGGGCCCGGTGTCGAGTCATGGTGCGAGATGCATGTCAGGGGCGGCTGTGGCCACAGCAGGTCCACCAGACGGGCGTCAAAGCTTGCCGTCGGCGTGCTGTGGTGGCGAGAGCCGAGACCGCTGCAGAGGAGCCGAGTGCAGTGGCGAGCCAGAGGCTACCAGGGTCACCAGGTGGTAGCCCTTGCCCATTCTGAGCAGGGATGTGCTTTGATGGGGTTGTGCTTGAGCGTGTGTGAAGTGGGAGTGCGTGCCGGCGGTGTCTGTGGCTGAAACGGGCGTGTGTGAGGCTGCAGAGCCGTGGTATGAGCCAGAGTGAGCTTCATCACCCAAGATAAGTGCGGTTTGGGACGGCTCAGGCTTGATACTGATGAGCCTGGGCCAGGAGAGCGACAGAGAAGGCGAGGTGGTGAGCTGGGAAGCCGCTTTGTCGGCACCTGGACGTGTCGCGATGAAGTGCCAAAAAGTACTATTTGCGGCTATTGCTCCAAACTTCGGGAGATAAGGCCTACATATTATGACTGCATCCATGAGCCTAGTGCATGAGGGCTGTGGGTCGGGACATTTCACGGTCGGTGGCGCCGACAATGACCTCCGTAATGCCCTCGCAATCGGCTCGGATGGGGTCCACCGGGGACAATCTCGGAGCCCTCTCCGTGGCATCACGAGCCGGTGTGAGCTTGCAGACCCGAGGTAAGTGCGGTTTGGGACAGCTCAGACCTGATACTGATGGGCCTGGGCCAGGAGAGCGACAGAGAAGGCGAGTGGTGAGCTGGAGCAG